GTGCAGAGCTGACGGCCTCGTACCTATGCGTTTGCAATTTTTCCAGTCCACCTGTCTAAAGTACTGCGTCTGCCACGAAAAAGTGATGCCAGGTCATACGAAGTGCTGCACCTGTCACACAAAATCATCTCAGCAAACCTGAAGATCTGATGCTCCAAAATGCAACCCCTCTCAGGAAATCAGCGCCTGGACCTCCTAACATTATGAGTCCAGCAACACAGAGAATATAGGGTTTGACAAAAAAATAAAAAAACAGAAAAAAACAAAACCAGAGCAAACAAAAAAAACAACCTAGAAAACCAAAACCAAGGAAAAAACAAGAAAAAAAACACAAAAACAACACGCCGACAAGAGAAACAAAAAAAACAAACAAAAAACAAAAAACAACAAAAACTGAAGAAAATGCAGTTTTTTTTTGTTTTTCTCGTTTTTTTTTCTTATTTTTTTTCTGGTGGCTTTTCCTGTCGAGTTGTTTTTTTGGTGATTCGTTTTTTTTAAATTTATTTTTTGCTAAAATCCACTTTCTCTGTTCTACACGGGGTCATAATCCCAACAGCTCTGATGAACATGTCTCTTGTATTGCGCCTGCCACGGAAAATGCATCTTTGCAGATCCTCTTCAAATGTCCCACGCCTGCCATCGTTTTCCAAAAAAATGCCACAAAAACGCTCACGTTTTGCTCACTTTTGACAAGGTGCACAATCCCTTGCGCCTGCCACGCGAAACGACATCTGAACCTCCAAAAGTGGTCCGAACCCCTGGTGTTTTTAACATTTTGACTTCGAAATGCGCTTCGCGCCACAACGGCGTGCACTTTTTCAACATCGGAACTTCCAAAAGTGGGCCGAACATGTCGTGTTTTTAACATTTTGACTCCGAAATGTGCTTCGCGCCACAACGGCGTGCACTTTTTAGACATCTCAACTTCCAAAAGTGTCCGAACGTGAGGTGTTTTTAGCTTTTTCACTTGCAAATGTGCTTCGCGCCACAAAGGCGTGCAATTTTTCATCTCTCATCTGGCCAGATGGCTCCGCACCCGACACTTTGGCGAGCCTACTTTTCGACCCTCCGGAGCCACAAATCATTGGAAAAACAAAATGTTTCGCGACTTTCCTACCTTTTCGCGCACCTGCACCTTCTTTCTTCTGACTCTTTCTCTTCTCTGATCTTCTCTCTTCTGCCCTTCTCTCTTCTACTCTTCTCTTCTCTCTGACTCTTCCCATCTCTGCTTTTCATCTGTCCATATTGTCGGAAGTTTGACTTCTAAACTGCCTTCGATAAGATAGAAAGAGATTGTGGTGCCGAACGCCCTCTGTCCTTAGGTAGTTGATTGGCGGGAACTGCGAAAGATTGCAAACGACTGGTATTCATCTCAGCTGAGCGTCTCAGTGCTTGGAGACACTCTCATCACTCTCCTTCAAACAAATTTTTCGGGAGTCCCTTCGGACCTGTCTTCGTGCCCCTTCCAAACAGGTCTCTTTATTCTCTTTCCAATGCTTGGCATGGCTCCACTGGCAGTTTCATCTGTGAATGGATCAAAATCCGTGCGGCTGAGGTCGCGCAGGCAATTTGCCAAGGGCCCGAGTGGGGAGAAGGCAGACTGTACACTGTACACGTACAGTGCACGTGAGAATGGGGGAGGTTTCCACCCCATGATGCTATCTAGATCTATCTACTTTGATCCTTTCACACCAAATAGCAGGTTTCCCGCTTTTCATAACTTGATCTAGTCAAAGTGTGAGCGGAGACTGGACCCTTCAGGTCATGGATCTCCTTCTAGTCATTACCAGCTTCATTGTGCTCTTCTCAGTGATACGAGAGCATCCATTGTCTAGTGGCACACATGTGGAACCAGGGTTACACGTGAAGTAGATGCTTGCGATCTAAATGGGTGCTTACGTGAAGGAATATCATTCAGCCAATGACAGAACAAGTGACAAAATGATGGTAGACTATGTTCAATCAGTTCTCGGTTTGCATCCTCTGACACGGGCATTTTGGACTTCATTGGTTCAGCTGTCGGGGAATGGCCAGTTGCCGCTCGCTTTCTCAACCTGGGTAGCCGTTCAAGGAAGATGCTTCAAAGAGATGGCAGCAAGCGCAGGATGAGTCCGGAGTCTCATTCTCCAATAGGTTCCAGTGTGGGGAACCTCCATGGTGCACGGTGAAACAATCACGCTGGATACCATAGCCATAGACTAGCATAGAATTATGCATTTCAGAAATCCATAGGATGCATGGTGGCACTACAGAGACATAGGCTCGCACCGAGTTTCATATATATAAAGTCTTGCAGTGTACTGATACATTGCAGTAGCAGGCATGCTGGCATGTGTATCTACGTATGTTTGTATAGTACGACACATATATACATATATATATACATACACAATGTCTGCATAGTATACAATACACACACACATACACATTATATATACACACGTATATATATATATACACGGTATATACGTGTATGTATATTTGGCAAATGCCGAAGCTTTGCCCGGAACCGCAAGGCAACGCATCATCATCATCATCATCACCATCATCATCATCATCACCACCATCATCATCATCGTCATCATCATCAAATCCTACTTGAACTTCTTCAATGAATGTAGAAGTTTAAAACGGGGGTGGGAGAAATAAACCCTTATTGAAGATCTTCAATGAATGTAGAAGTTTAACGGGGGTGGGGTGGGGGAATTAAACCCTTATCGAAGATCTTCAATGAATGTAGAAGTTTAACGGGGGGTGGGGGAATTAAACCCTTATCGAAGATCTTCAATATGAATGTAGAAGTTTAACGGGGGTGGGAGAATGAAACCCTTATTGAAGATCTTTAATGAATGTAGAAGTTTAACGGGGCTGGGAGAATGAAACCCTTATTGAAGATCTTCAATAATGTAGAAGTCTAACGGGGGTGGGATTTTGATATTCCCTAATGCCTTTGTTGATCTTCCCAATTGAATGTAAAGTTTAACGGGGGTGGGATTTTGATATTCCCTAATACCTTTGTTGATCTTCCTAATGGAATGCAGAGCTGCAACAACATTTGATTGGGAATGGGACCCTCTACGCTGCAAGGCCTGGGCAAAGCCCAGGCGTTGCTATATATATATATATGCTTAGTACATTTTGAGTCTGCTTTCCGCTTCATTTGGTTCCAAAGACATCCTTAAAACCTGCCTTTACCAATCTGAGGTGCCCAATAGGGAGCGCTTTCCTGGCTGCGGTGCAGGCAATTCGCAGCTTCTGCCGGATCCTTTCGCTCTAAGCCAATGATCCCCAAAATTCACCATAGATGGGTGGGATTGAAACCATGCCCAAATGGTCGGTTTGTGGCATTGGGTTGCCCACATTATTCTGTTTGATACTGAACTTGTCATTCGTCTACAACGCGATTCAAGAGAGCATATCCTAGAGATTTCGGTAATTTTGACTACAAAGCCATTCGCTTTTTCTGGCATACCAATTTTGGATCACCAAAACCGTTGATGCTGAGAGGCCGCTGGCGCCTTGGCACAGTTCACGTGGTGCTCTTAGCAATGGCCCATGTAGGTCCTGTAGGTTGTGATCTGATGCAAGTGGTTTGCTATACTTGTATCAAAACAGACCATCAGATTATTTTTTGACTTTTCCCAGATCCGACAGGGGAAACCTTTCACTGGTGATGTCTCCGGAATGGTTGTTCAAAATCACCCATTTGTTCGTGGCACCAAGGAATCGCTTTGACAATTACAGCAAAGTCCTGGACAAAGCTATCCAGGAGGCGAAAGATGCGAAACAGCTGCTAGCACTTGGATCCAAAAAATGATGCATCCATTTTGGGGATGGGTCACAGTTGCATAGACCTAAACCAACCCAAACCTAGATTCGGGTTTGCCCTAACCATTTTGTCTTTTCAAAGTTGTTCATATCTTTGATTTTGATGGACCATGGGAGACCATGGCAACATGGCCAGGGCCTTCTTTCAGCTGTTTCCTGTGGATGGCCCCTGGGACATGCCTTGGCGGTGCTGTCTGATGCCAACAAGGGTCTGAAGTCAGACTCTCAATTAGAGCCAGCAATGGACCATGACCTTTTGATCTTTTAGATCAGGGGAAAGGACCTTGCACTGGATTTCTCGGGATTTTTGGAGTGCATAAAATTTCCGAGAAACGCATGTTGAATTCTTGAATCATGCTGAGGTACCTGGATCGAAACTACAAATATGTCCGGGCATTTGCAGACCTAGACCTGCATTTGAAGGCCGGAGCAGTTTGTTACCGAAGATGTTGGATTCCTTGATTTGGTTTCCGCGGGAGGAGCTTTCTCCATTAGTTTTGCCTGCCCAGACGGACAGCAGGGAACTCTGCGGGATCTCGCAGGTTTTGATCATTTGTGCGATCCGCACAAACTTTTCTACTGTCCATTCAAACCATGCTGAATGTTGCTGGTGCTGTTGACTTTTACTAGGGGTCCCAAGTCGGAGTTTTAGCCGCAGTTTGAGGCTTTGACCCTGCAAAATGGCGGAAGCAAGGTGCCAAGAAGGCGGGCGGTTGTGCCAAAGTCAGGAAAGGTATTGTTACTCGGGAACCGACAATCGACATGAACAGGTAGCCTTGGGAAGTTGCCAGGATTTCACAGTGGATGGAAGGGACCGTGCAGGCGTGTGCAATTGCTCGCATGCCCTGGCACAGCTTTGCCAGACTACTTCGGAACAAGGCCAATTTTGGTGGCAGCAGTGACCAGCAGTAACTGTTCATGTGAGCTCAGGTTGTTTCTGTGCTGGTGCCAAGAGCTGCATTTTTGTTGTCTGCAGCATATCAGGTCTCAAGCGACCTTGATGATGAGCCAATCTCCATATTGTGTGCAGCTTCTGGGTCCACAAATATTTTTAGAGTACACCAAACACCGCAATGAGATTTTTGGGTACCCGAGTGTCAAAAATTCCAGACAAAGCCTTATCTCCCTTGTGGAGGACCAGCAGTTGCCAAGTTGAGCCCCAGAATTGCGCCATGGGCACCAAAGGATGTGCTGGCGATCCGGCCTCAGCCGGTAGCAGACCTTCTGGTGCCGATGTCGCGGAAGGCCTCTGCCAGGTGCCTCAAGTGACCAAACAGGGAACCATAATGAACATTAAAGAACCGTATATCCTCGTGTCGCCATTGAAATGCCAAGTTTCAGGACATGCCGAGCTCATCCCGGCTCATCCCAGCTCCTTTTTTGATCTTTTTTTGCTTTTCGAGCGATTGACTGGATATTTTTCTTGGTGGAGAATCTGAATTTCAAGAGTTCAAGGTGAAAGCTTTTATTTGAGGGGAAATGGATATTCCCTGAGGTTTCTGAGTGGGACACTGGGACGGACAATGGAGACCACTACGCGTCTGCTTATTCCAGTGATTTCTGCCAGCGACAATTTTAGGTTTCCAATCCGAAGGCAAAAACGATCAGCCCATGGGCCAACCAGCACATTGGTGGATTTCTGCCAGATTTCTGCCAGGAGCTTCTTGACTCCACCTTCTTCCAGGAAAACTGGGAGCGGAAACCCTTCCATTTCTGTGCTGCAGAGAAGGGATGCAGCCTGGAGACCCAGTGCTCCAGTGATCTCCAGTGCTTCCCCTCCTGAGATTTCCGCTGCGAGGTGCCAATCGTCTTCCAGACGCCTTGTTTGCGGATGATTTGGCAGCTGCGGTAGGTCGTGCTGAAGGTGCAGATGGGTTGAAAGGGCTTGTCCCCCCAAAGCTCACGATGTGCCCTCCAAACTTATCCATTTTTGTTGAATTTGGTGGTTTAATTCCGGTAGTTTCATTTCAACATGCGCAGTTTTTGTTGAAACATCAATGCCGGTACGCCAGGAATCAACCTGAAAATGTTCCGATCGAACGAGACGAGCGACTTGGAGACACCCTGCCGTGCTCCCAGCATTTCCCAATACAGCACATTTCCATACATTTCCACTGTGCAAATTGAACAATTGGTGACAAAGTACACTTCGACCTGGGAAGTCAACTTCGACTCAGGGCATTCATATTTGGCTGGATTCTCCATGGTGATTAATCAAGCCAGGATCTTAGCCAAACCAAGGATTGGATTTCATTTGGAGGTGAGCGGTAAGAGCAGGAGTTGATGAAATTTCATGCAAGCGCAGGGTGATTTACCAACTATACAAGCCTAGACTTGTAAGCAATATTAAGCAATTATTTCGAAGGATGCCACCAAGAACGGGACATCCGGGACATCACCGCACTAACCGGCAGCCATGTGGTTTCCGAGAGCTGTGGGCAAGCGCCCAATGGGATTTGGTGCTGAAGGCTGATCGGCACCTCAAGGTCCTTTTTGATTTGTGCAAAGGTGGGGTCACTTGGAGATGCTTTGCTTTTTGTTAAAACATATTAAACCGATATGGGTCAAAGATGGTCAAAGTTAAATTGTCCGATCACATATTTTGGTCATCTGTACGATTACATATGAAGAATCCAATCTTGGGGGCACCCAAATTTGATCTGTAACCGAACATAAATTTTAATGCTCAGAAATTGTGGTAGTCTGCCTTCCAAGTTGACCACGTGAGGCCTTGGTGATCGACACTTTCATCACGTTTTCGCTGTGGTGTACTTGACACCACCTGGATCACAGGTATCGCTGGCATGGCGGGGGTATCCAAACCTTTGGTTGGTCCGACAAGACAACAAGGTATCCATCTCAAAAGATTTGTGATATCTGAAGCTTGAGAAGTTTGGGAATGTTTGGGACATACTCATACCGATACCACATACTTTACGTACTTCATGAAACCACATTGTTCAGGAATGCTCCTGCTCGATGGAAGGGGTGGGGATGGCAAAGCTGTCATACAATGGTGAAAGCAGTACTGGTGAGTTGGATCTTTTCTCAGCTAGCAACTGAGTTCTCTACATCGGTGCCTCTTTATTCAAACCCTTGGGAGTTGGTTTGCGCAGAGCTGCCACGGCTGCCAACGCTGGTCCTGCGGTGCAGGCGGTCCGAGTGCACACGGATGACCAAGACGTGATTCTACTTCAGGTTTGGGGAAGCAAGCACTGGACAGTGTACAACGCTCCCACACATTTGCCCTACACGGAGGACAGGCGGTGACAGTGGGAATCAACATCGGAGATTGGAATGTCGACAATTCAAGGGCTTGACACTTTGGGTGGCCTTTGGATGATATCCTGCTGGATTGTTCTATGACAATGCCATGTGCAGGAGATGCTTGGCAAAGAACAAGCAGTGCCAGGGAATTTGATCGGGCCCAAAGAGTTGGACTTCACCATTCGGCCACACGATGCCGCTGCGCCGCAGTGTGTCAATCCAGGAGCTTGTGAAAGCTAAGTCGGTCGGAAGTAAAGTCTTTTCCCATATTCATATACACTTGAATCATCTTTAATTCCCTAAACAGCTCTTGAGCTGAATGGGGTTCTCAATTCTTGCTAGAAACAGCCTTTGTTCCCTCATGATTTGCTGGTTCCTCTTGCTTCCGGCTGGGGTTCCGGTGTTTGTCTCCCTTCTTCTCTCTTCTTTCTTTCCTCAGGATAAGGGGTTCTGTTCCATCATGATTTGCTGGTTCCTCTTGGTTCCGGCTGGGGTTCCGGTGCTTGTCTCCCTTCTTCTCTCTTCTTTGGTTCCGGTGCTTGTCTCCCTTCTTCTCCCTTCTTGCTTTCCTCAGGACAGGGGTTCTGTTCCATCATGATTTGCTGGTTCCTCTTGGTTCCGGCTGGGGTTCCGGTGCTTGTCTCCCTTCTTCTCTCTTCTTTGGTTCCGGTGCTTGCCTCCCTTCTTCTCCCATCTTGCTTTCCTCAGGACAGGGCTTCTGTTCCATCATGATTTGCTGGTTCCTCCTGGTTCCGGCTGGGGTTCCGGTGCTTGTCTCCCTTCTTCTCTCTTCTTTCTTTCCTCAGGACAGGGGTTCTGTTCCATCATGATTTGCTGGTTCCTCCTGGTTCCGGCTGGGGTTCCGGTGCTTGTCTCCCTTCTTCTCTCTTCTTTCTTTCCCCAGGAAAGCGGTTCTGTTCCATCATGATTTGCTGGTTCCTCCTGGTTCTGGCTGGGGTTCCGGTGCTTGTCTCCCTTCTTCTCTCTTCTTTCTTTCCTCAGGAAAGGGGTTCTGTTCCATGATTTGCTGGTTCCTCTTGGTTCCGGCTGGGGTTCCGGTGCTTGTCTCCCTTGTTCTCTCTTCTTTCTGTCCTCAGGAAAGGGGTTCTGTTCCATCATGCTTTGCTGGTTCCTCTTGGTTCCGGCTGGGGTTCCGGTGCTTGTCTCCCTTCTTCTCTTTTCTTTGGTTCTGGTGCTTGTCTCCCTTCTTCTCTCTTCTTTCTTTCCTCAGGAAAGGGGTTCTGTTCCATCATGATTTGCTGGTTCCTCCTGGTTCCGGCTGGGGTTTCGGTGCTTGTCTCCCTTCTTTCTCTTCTTTGCTTCCGGTGCTTGTCTCCCTTCTTCTCTCTTCTTTCTTTCCCCAGGAAAGGGGTTCTGTTCCATCATGATTTGCTGGTTCCTCCTGGTTCCGGCTGGGGTTCCAGTGCTTGTCTCCCTTCTTCTCTCTTCTTTCCTCAGGAAAGGGGTTCTGTTCCATCATGATTTGCTGGTTCCTCGTGGTTCCGGCTGGGGTTCCGGTGCTTGTCTCCCTTCTTCTCTCTTCTTTGGTTCCGGTGCTTGTCTGCCTTCTTCTCTCTTCTTTCTTTCTTCAGGAAAGGGGTTCTGTTCCATCATGATTTGCTGGTTCCTCTTGGTTCTGGCTGGGGTTCCGGTGCTTGTCTCCCTTCTTCTCTCTTCTTTCTTTCCTCAGGAAAGGGGTTCTGTTCCATCATGCTTTGCTGGTTCCTCTTGGTTCCGGCTGGGGTTCCGGTGCTTGTCTCCCTTCTTCTCTCTTCTTTGGTTCCGGTGCTTGTCTCCCTTCTTCTCTCTTCTTTCTTTCCTCAGGAAAGGGGTTCTGTTCCATCATGATTCGCTGGTTCCTGGGGTTCCGGTGCTTGTCTCCCTTATTCTCTCTTCTTTGGTTCCGGTGCTTGTCTCCCTTCTTCTCTCTCCTTTCTTTCTTCAGGACAGGGGTTCTGTTCCATCATGATTTGCTGGTTCCTCCTGGTTCCGGCTGGGGTTCCGGTGCTTGTCTCCCTTCTTCTCTCTTCTTTGGTTCCGGTGCTTGTCTCCCTTCTTCTCTCTTCTTTCTTTCCTCAGGAAAGGGGTTCTGTTCCATCATGATTTGCTGGTTCCTCCTGGTTCTGGCTGGGGTTCCGGTGCTTGTCTCCCTTCTTCTCTTTTCTTTCTTTTCTAAGGAAAGGGGTTCTGTTCCATCATGATTTGCTGGTTCCTCTTGGTTCCGGCTTGGGTTCCGGTGCTTGTCTCCCTTCTTCTCTCTTCTTTCTTTTCTCATGAAAGGGGTTCTGTTCCATCATGATTTGCTGGTTCCTCTTGGTTCCGGCTGGGGTTCCGGTGCTTGTCTCCCTTCTTCTCTCTTCTTTCTTTCCTCAGGAAAGGGGTTCTGTTACATCATGATTTGCTGGTTCCTCCTGGTTCCGGCTGGGGTTCCGGTGCTTGTCTCCCTTCTTCCCTCTTCCTTCTTTCTTCAGGAAAGGGGTTCTGTTCCATCATGATTTGCTGGTTCCTCTTGGTTCTGGCTGGGGTTCCGGTGCTTGTCTCCCTTCTTCTCTCTTCTTTCTTTCCTCAGGAAAGGGGTTCTGTTCCATCATGCTTTGCTGGTTCCTCTTGGTTCCGGCTGGGGTTCCGGTGCTTGTCTCCCTTCTTCTCTCTTCTTTGGTTCCGGTGCTTGTCTCCTTTCTTCTCTCTTCTTTCTTTCCTCAGGAAAGGGGTTCTGTTCCATCATGATTTGATGGTCCTTCCTGGTTCCGGCTGGGGTTCCGGTGCTTGTCTCCCTTATTCTCTCTTCTTTGGTTCCGGTGCTTGTCTCTCTTCTTCTCCCTTCTTTCTTTCCTCAGGAAAGGGGTTCTGTTCCATCATGATTTGCTGGTTCCTCCTGGTTCCGGCTGGGGTTCCAGTGCTTGTCTCCCTTCTTCTCTCTTCTTTGGTTCCGGTGCTTGTCTCCCTTCTTCTCTCTTCTTTCTTTCCTCAGGAAAGGGGTTCTGTTCCATCATGATTTGCTGGTTCCTGTTGGTTTCGGCTCGGGTTCCGGTGCTTGTCTCCCTTCTTCTCTCTTCTTTCCTCAGGAAAGGGCTTCTTCCATCATGATTTGCTGGTTCCTCTTGGTTCCGGCTGGGGTTCCGGTGCTTGTCTCCCTTCTTCTCTTTTCTTTGGTTCTACTGCTTGTCTCCCTTCTTCTCTCTTCTTTCTTTCCTCAGGAAAGGGGTTCGGTTCCATCATGATTTGCTGCTTCTTCCTGGTTCCGGCTGGGGTTTCGGTGCTTGTCTCCCTTATTCTCTCTTCTTTGCTTCCGGTGCTTGTCTCCCTTCTTCTCTCTTCTTTCTTTCCTCATGAAAGGGGTTCTGTTCCATCATGATTTGCTGGTTCCTCTTGGTTCCGGCTGGGGTTCCGGTGCTTGTCTCCCTTCGTCTCTCTTCTTTGTTTCCGGTGCTTGTCTTCCTTCTTCTCTCTTCTTGGTTCTGTTCCATCATGATTTAGGAGTAAAACAGAAGACAGGAGTGGGCCAGACAGTTCCATGTTTTTTGAATTGCGCATGACCTTGGTGGAAACATGCGTTCTTGCTGTTTGGGGTCTATGCTGGTGTGATTTTGTGTTGTGATACCCAATACCGGCCCCCAACTGAGGTTCACACCCATAGACTTGAGGTTGTACCGTTGTAGTCCGCGGAAAGACCTCTTTGGTCCTCAAACTGCGATTTGTTTGAGTCTGCTGAGGTTCTCTATATCCCTCGAGGATATCTGCATGAGGCGGCCACCAGCACCGAAGCCTCGTTGCACATCACCCTGACAGTGTTGCCGGCTCAGATGTGACATCGGCAACGAAAATGGTCTGGGTACGTCGGGTATGTCATCTCTCAGAAAGGGAACCATTAGGATAGGAACTCTTGAAAGTCTCCATGGGCAGGTGGTAGTTGGGGACATCCTGAGTTTTCGGGGCCGCTGTTGTCAGACAGACCCAAATGTTTACCTAGAACTTCCAGGTAACGGACCTTTCAATCGGAAAAGAATGGGGCCATTTCCATGTGCATTTGCAGTGCGAGGCCTACCAGCGACTATTGCTGGGGAGTTCAGATGGTGAAACAGCTCAATTCTGAGTTAAGGAACCCTTGAGAGACTGTACATCACAGTCCGAGGGTAGAACCATGGACCTTGCAGGAGTGGGCAGCTGCTGACTCCAGATTCGCAATCACTTTGCCAGGCAGTGAGTTCCTTTTCACACATGTTTGTCCAAGACGAGCCATTGGGAAGGCGTTTTCTGTCGCCAGGCATCTCTGGCTGAATGCTTAGCTGGCGAAGCTCCAAAGGACGAGCTGGATGGCAAGATTCAGGACAGGATTTTTTCAATGATTTGAGGGTTTTTGATACCAGGCAATTCGTTGGAATATTTGGAATCACCTATCCAAGAAATATTGTTCCGCAGAGGGTTGGGATGCATTGATTCAAGTCCCGATGCAGACTTGGTGCGGAATTGCTCGTGTGTGTCTCTACAAGTTGTTGCAGGTCTCGTTATATAAAGTGTTTGAGACCCCAGTCCAAATTTTGTCTTGTCGGAACCCTGTCGCTAATTTGTGTCAATTACGAAAGCCAGCTGTCAAGCATGGCGAAATTGCTCATTGCGAACGAAGTGAGAATAGGGGGTCTGGGGGGCGGTGGCTGAAAACATGGACAATTTTGAGGCAGCATTTCCCAACCTGGTCGATTTTGCACGATTTATGTACCACATGACAATTGGGTGACGGTGGGGTTCGATCCCCCCCGTCCGTCCTCCGACGTGCACTTGGGGAGACTGGAATGGAGGGTAAAATGATGGAGAAATCGAGTGAAACCATGGAAAAACAATGGAAAAATTGAGGGAATGGAAGGATAAAATAAATCGTGCGGATTGGAGTTCCAGGGCGAGGTGTGTGATGGGGCGAGGAGGTTGGAGGGAAGAAAGAGCGTGGCTTGGGCGGGCCTTTTGGGGTGAGGCTCTTTTAGGTGGCTGCTGGGAAGCAAAGGAGCCCGCAGGGTGAAAGTTGCAGATGGCTGCTGATGCCTGGGGGTGGGAGGAGGGAGGTGCGTGGCCGGGGGCGCATGTGGTTGGAATGGTTGCTGCAGGCCAGGCAAGGTGAGGTTGCTCGTTCGGAATGAAGTCAGAGCAGAGGATTTGGGGAAAAAGTGGACAATTTGAGGCAACTATGCGAGTAGGAGTGGTACTGTTGGGGCGGTTGGAGTGCGATTGGATCGCGATTGGATGGCGATTGGAATCATCCTCAACTTGAGCAACTGTCCACTCGTAAGCATGTCCTTGTCACAGTCTGTTCGGGTTGAGTTTTGATCTTATAACGAGTCAAGAGAAACGTTCGGAATGAAGTCAGAGCAGAGGATGGGAAAAAGTGGACAATTTGAGGCAACTATGCGAGTAGGAATGGTACTGTTGGGGCGGTTGGAGCGCGATTGGATCGCGATTGGATGGCGATTGGAATCATCCTCAACTTGAGCAACTAACTGTCCACTCGTAAGCATGTCCTTGTCACAGTCTGTTCAGGCTGAGTTTTGATCTTATAACGAGTCAAGAGAAACGTGGATACCATTGGTCTTGCGATTAGGATTATTGGGACCGCGATTGGGCCGTGATGGGCCGGGGATGGGTCCTGTTGGGGATGAAGTGATTTTGAGCAACTTCCCACATGCGCTGATGTGAGGATGCGCAAGCCAAATGTTTTGGGCTTAAAGAAAGGGAATTGGTGCCCGCATTGAAGGGAGAGTCTTCATGCAAGTCTCTAACATTAGCCATGTGAACAGCTTTGCTGAGGCTCTTGCAATTTTGCGATGTTGGTTCTTGACATTTACGAACATGCTAGTATTGACAAAACAACAAGGTAGTTCTGCTTGCAATTTAGATGCTTATGTGGGAGTGCTTAGGAATGAGGTATCGAAAAGATATGCATGTCTGGAAAAGTAGTAAGTAGTCCACGGATGCAGCAGCGGGCGCATGCCAGAGTGCCATGGATATTTCAGGCTGGCGTGTCATATTGGAAGAGCGTGCGTCGAGATTTTTCGAATCTGATGTGTTATGCATCATCACCCAAGTGAAGCTGTTGGAGAAAGCAAGTTGCCGGTGGTTGCAGGGTGCCTGGGCCAGTTGGAAGGGTTGGAGGGAAGAAAGAGCGGCTTGGGCGGGCCTTTTGGGGTGAGGCTCTTTTAGGTGGCTGCTGGGAAGCAAAGGAGCCTGCAGGGTGAAAGTTGCAGATGGCTGCTGATGCCTGGGGGTGGGAGGAGTGCTCGTTCGGAATGAAGTCAGAGCAGAGGATTTGGGGAAAAAGTGGACAATTTGAGGCAACTATGCGAGTAGGAGTGGTACTGTTGGGGCGGTTGGAGCGCGATTGGATGGCGATTGGATGGCGATTGGAATCATCCTCAACTTGAGCAACTGTCCACTCGTAAGCATGTCCTTGTCACAGTCTGTTCGGGTTGAGTTTTGATCTTTTAACGAGTCAAGAGAAAAGTCAATGAAGTCAGAGCAGAGGATGTGGGTAAAAAGTAGACAATTTGAGGCAACTATGCGAGTAGGAGTGGTACTGTTGGGGCGGTTGGAGCGCGATTCGATCGCGATTGGATGGCGATCGGAATCATCCTCAACTTGAGCAACTGTCCACTCGTAAGCATGTCCTTGTCACAGTCTGTTCAGGTTGAGTTTTGATCTTATAACGAGTCAAGAGAAACGTGGATACCATTGGTCTTGCGATTAGGATTATTGGGACCGCGATTGGGCCGTGATGGCCGGGGATGGGTCCTGTTGGGGATGAAGTGATTTTGAGCAACTTCCCACATGCGCTGATGTGCGTGGAGGATGCGCAAGCCAAATGTTTTGGGCTTAAAGAAAGGGAATTGGTGCCCGCATTGAAGGGAGACCTCAACCAACCCCCAACCGCAATCCCTGCCATGCTCTCCACTCTCCTGCCTCCGTTCCAACTAGTCCCTGGCTTTCGTCCCCTCCTCTCAGGTTTGCTTACATATTCTGGACAGATCCAATCAATTCCAATAGCAGCTGGTGCAGCCCAGTTTTGAGGACATGCTGTCGAGATTTTTGTCCAACCTGAGCGCGGAAGCCGTTTTGAAGGGCTTCGAGAGTCGGATGGTGGCGTGCTCAGTGCCGCCTGGTGGTGGCATATGGGTTTGACTGAAGATAGGGTACTCTGCCAATCCATGATAATCCATGGTTTATCATTTTTTCACCACTAAAACAGAACTTTTGGCGTATCTGCATTTTCGGACAAACTCGCATTAGATCCATCTTCATCCATCTTCCATATACAGTCGCGTAGACTGATGAGTCAATCTCCGAGGCCAAGACTAATCTTGGGCAGGCAAGATCATGCCAAACTGTACACCGTTGCTGTTGTCGTGGAAGATGTACATCGGGTCATGGCTTCTTCAATACGGCTTTGCTTGTGTTTGGGTGCCGCAGTCAGGACCAGCAGTTTTCTCAGCTTTCGGAGGGTTCGGGCAATGTCTTGATCAGTCGAAATCGCAGGCCGGAGATGGTTGGATGTGATCCAGCCTGCTATCTTGTCCACTTGGTGTCCACTTGGTAGAGTTGCCATTTCAATTGCACATATTGCACTGTGTCCGCCACAGGGTGCGACTCATGTATGGAGTGACCTGCTTCTGCGAGGAAGGCCTGGTGGAAAACATGATGTGTGGAAGACTTTGCCACATGGGTATAGTTCCTATACAGTAGGCTATTGTACAACATGTGCTGAGTCTCACTTTGATCTCGTGTGTCTTTTTTGCTTTTAATGTTACAAAGGATTTGATTTGGAGCAAAGTCTCCACATGATATGTGGGCCTGTATGGGTCAATATTTTGGAGTGAGAAAGGTTCAGGGTATTGACCCATAGCCATATACGTATAACGCGTCGGTTTGGAAGCAGAAGTCTGAAGGATGAAGGCAATCAGCTTTTTGCCAGACGAGGTAGCCAAGAAGCGATCTTTGGACGGGCAGATGGCCGCTGCATGCGGATGGAGGCTCCTATGGGCTTTATCAAACGAAGTTTTGAAGTCTAAGCTCCGTTGTCGAAGGAAGTTTAGAAGTCAAATTTCCAACTTATGGACAGATGCAGCAACAGTAGTGAGAGTACTCAGAGAAGAGAAAGAGTTAGAAGAGAAAGTCCGTACAAGGTGTAGAAAAGTTGCGAAACACTATGTTTTCCCAAGGTTCTGTGGCTGCGGAGGGTCGAAAAGTAGGCTCGATAAAGCGGCGGGTGCGGAGCCATCTGGTCGTAGGAGAGATCAAAAAGGGCATGCTGCTGTGGCAGCCGTGGCGCGAAGCAAATTTTGAAGTCAAAATGCTAACAACACCTCACAGCTCCGAGCCACTTTTGGCAGTTGAGAAGTGGAAAAAGTGCAGGTCGCTGTGGCGCGAAGCACATTTAGCAGTCAAAAGGGCAAGAGCACCTCACGTCCGGAGCACTTTTGGAAGTTGAGATGCTCAAAAAATTACACGCGGCTGTGCTGCGAACACACTCCGAAGTCAAAACACCAAAAAAAACGCTTCAGGTTCGGAGCGCGTCAAAAAAGTGCACGCCGCTGTGTCGCGAAGCAGATTTCAAGGTCAAAATGCTAAAGACACCACATGCTATCAGCAGATAGATACGTAGACAGCTAGATCGAAAGAGAGATAAACAGCTACGTCAATGCATGCCTAGAGACAGAGGCCGGGAGAGAGAGAGAGAGAGAGAGAGATAGGCAGAGAGACAGATAGGCAGAGAGACAGATAGACAGACAGACGGACAGAAAGATAGATAGTCAGATAGATAGACAGACAGATAGATGGATAGATAGATAGATGGATAGATAGATTGATGGATAGATAGATGTAGGATAGTATAGAATAGGATAGGGTAGTCGAAGGAAGTTTAGATGTCAAACTTCCGACACTATGGACAGATGAAAAGCAGAGAAGAGAAAAAGTCAGAAGAAAGAAGATGCAGGTGCGCGAAAAGGTAGGAAAGTCGCGAAACACTTTGTTTTTCCAATGATTTGTGGCTCCAGAGGGTCGAAAAGTAGGCATGAAAAATTGCACGCCGTTGTGGCGCGAAGAACATTTCCAAGTCAAAATGCACAAAACACCTCAGCTCCGGACCGCTTTTGGAAGTTGAGATGTCGAAAAAGTGCACACTGTTGTGGCGCGAAGCATATTTCGAAGTCAAAATGTACAAGACACACCATTCTCGGACCACCTTTGGAAATTGAGATGTCTAAAATGTGCACGCCGTTGTGGCGCGAAGCACATTTCCGAGTGCAAAAGCTAAAAGCACTTCACGTTCGGACCACTTTTGGAAGTTGAGATGTCTGAAAAGTGCACGCCGTTGTGGCGTGAAGCACATGTCGAAGTCAACATATACAAAGCACACCATGTTCGGACACTTTTCGACGTTCAGATGTCGTTTTGCGTGGCAGGCACAAGGGATTGTGCACCCACCTTGTCAAAAGTGAGGAAAACGCGAGGGTTCTGTAGCATGTCCAAAACGATGGCAAGCGTGGGACATTTGAAGAGGATCTGCAAAGATGCATTTCCGTGGCAGGTGCAGTACAAGAGACATGTTCATCAGAGCTGTTAGGAGGTCCGGGCGCTGATTTCCTGAGAGGGGTTGCATTTTGGAGCACCAGATCCCCAGGTTTGCTGGGATGATTTTGTGTGACAGGTGCAGCGCTTCGTATGACCTGGCATCACTTTTTCGTGGCAGGCGCAGTACTTTAGACAGGTGGACTGGAAAAAATGCAAAACGCATTGGTACGAGGCCGTCAGCTCTGCACTCAACTTCCCATTTTTGAAGGAAGACTCGCAGAATTCTTTCGTTTTTGATGTTGTCAACTTCGAAAAATGAGGAAGTTTTGCAGAATTGTTTCGTTTTTGATGTTGTCAAGTTCAAAAATTGAGGAAGTCTGGCAGATTGCTGCGCTTTTATGTTGTCAAGTTCAAAAACTGAGGAAGTCTCGCAGAATAGCTTCGTTTTCAAGCTTGCAGATAGACAGACAGACAGACAGACAGACAGACAGACAGACAGACAGAGAGATAGATGGATAGATGGATAGATAGATAGATCGATAGATAGATAGATGGACAATTACAACTACAACTACCACTACACTACACTACACGACTGCTACAGCTACAAATACAAATATACTACGCTACATTATACTACACTAATTACACTACACTACACTAATTACATCTAATTACACTACACTGCAACTACAACTGCTACAACTACAACCACACTACATTACACAACACTACGCTACACTGATTACATTGCATAACGCTACAACTACAGTTGCAGCTGCAACTGCAACTACAATTAAGATACAATTAGCACTGCATTGCATTACATTACATTACATTACACTACACTACACTACACTACACTACACATACTACACTACACGACACGGCACGACACTACACTACACTACACTAATTACACTGCACTACACTACAACTACGGCTACACTACCTTACACTAGACTACGCTACACTATACCACACGACACTACACAACACTACACGACATCGCACTGCACTACACTACACTAATTACATCACACCACGACTACAACCGCAACTGCGCTTGATTAATTACACTGCATTACAGCTACAGCTCCACTACACTCCACTACACTACAACTACAGCTACAACTGCAACTACAACTGCGCCACACCACACTACATCCAGCAGTTGTGGTGACGTGACCACTGCAACCATTGCAGCCATTCCAAAAACACAACTCCAACCACCTGTCGGTCCATCAGTGGATTCGCTCTGCCATCCGTGATTCACAACAACCAACCTCTCCTATAGGTTTCCTATTTTTGAAACTTCCGCCACTGCCTTGTGCGGTACTACTGGGATAGGATAGGATAGGATTGGATAGGATAGGATAGATAGATAGACAGGCAGATAGATAGATAGACAGATAGATAGTAGGATAGGATAGGATAGGAAAGGAAAGGAAGATAGATAGATAGATAGATAGATAGACAGACGGATAGACAGATAGACCGATAGACAGATAGATTAGACAGATAGATGGATGGATGGATGGATAGATGGATAGATAGATAGATAGAAAGATAGACCTAATAGATAGATAGATGGATAGATGCATAGATAGACAGTTAGATAGACAGCTAGACAGATAGACAGAAAGAAAGATAGATAGACAGATAGATAGATAGACAGATTGAGAAAGATAATGGGAGTTGCAAAGAGACGAACAGAAGAGAAAGAGAGAGAATGAGTGAGTCAGAGCCTCAGCCACCTTGCGATCCGTCAGTGGGTTCGCTCTACCATCCATGCATCACAGCAACCAAACCTCTGCTATGGGTTTCCTATTTTTGAAATTTCCGCCACCGCCTTTTGCGGTACTACTGGTACGGAAAATATGGCAGAGAAGAAAACCCATAACCATCACATCACCTCACCACCTCATCACCTCGTCACCTCATCACCTCATCACCTCATCACGTCATCACCACATCGCCACATCAGCACGTCATTGCCACATCGCCACATCAACGCATCACCATATCACCACACCACCGCAATCAACGCATCACCATATCACACCATCACATCATCACATTATCACATCATCACCACATCACCACATCATCGCCACATCATCGCCACTCCATAACATCACCGCATCACCGCATCACCGCATCCAGCATCACCGCATCACCGCATCACCGCATCACCGCATCACCGCATACCTGCATCATCTCATCACCGCATCACCACCTCATCACATCACCACATCACCACATCATCACATCACCACATCACCACATCACTACATCACCTCATCACCTCACCACCGCATCACCACATCATTACGTCACCTCTCCACCTCATCACCAGATCACCACGCCATGACATCATCGCATCACCACATCACCCCATCACCTCATCACCTCAACACCGCATCACCACATCATTACGTCACCTCTCCACCTCATCACCAGATCACCACACCATGACATCATCGCATCACCACATCACCCCATCAACTCATCACCACATCAACACACTAATCGCATCATTACATCACCACATCACTACATCACCTCATCACCGCATCACCACATCATTGCGCCACGTCTTGCCCTCATCACCACATCATCACACTAATCGCATCATTACATCACCACATCACCACATCACCTCATCACCACATCATCAACTGCTCCAGCAAATTGGAAGGCAGGCATTGGAAATGGCATTCGGATGGCTTCGTCAAGCTTATGTTTGAAGGTTAGGACTTGCACGACACCCAATGATTTTCCGCATAAAGTGCTTCCCGGCAAAGATGTGGGTAACCTCGTTTGTGCGACGGGTGCGGCTTCAACTTCGTTTGGCGCTCGAGTGGTCCTGATTGTCAGCGCTGCAAGGAGGTGATCTTTGAAAGATTGCATGCGCTGTGCCATTGTGGAAGATCTGTCAAGATTCAGAGATGACAAGCGCAAAACGGATCCTGGCACCGACAGAAGAAGCCGAGAGAAAGAAATGTCAAGGGCCAAAAAACGTCCAGACAAACAGCAGGCAACAGGAAGGGCTGTCAAGATTCAGAGATGACAAGGGCAAACCGGATCAAGAGAAAGTGGCATCGCAAGAAAAGGATGTCGAGAGCAAGAAACGTCAAGGAGAAAGAGTTCCAAGAGCTGATCGAGTGAACGGCCGTGACAAACAGGCAGTCAGGTGTCGTTCCTTAAGGCTTTTCATTTTGTTTCTAGGTTCCTCCCCTTTCGAAACTTCCGTCGCCCGGGCTCTACTGGCACTTTTCTGTGTATAGGATTTGATGGGTGTAGTCTTCAGCCTTGGTATCTTTCCCGAGAGCGTCTGAGCGCAGGGTTCTTCCAATAGTGGGGCTCTGTATCTCATCTTCTCATCTTCACACCTTCTCATCTTCACACCTTCTCATCTTCACACCTTCTCATCTTCACACCTTCTCATCTTCAC